GAATATTGATTTATTCCAACTGTGAGTACTCCTTTCCAAGGACAGCTAGATGGTGCAGTGGATAGAGGCCTGGGCCTGGAGTCAGAAAGACTCCTCTTCCCAAGTTCAAATTTGACCTTAGACACTTAGTAGCTGTGTGATCCTGGGCAAGTCACTTAATCGTGTTTGCCTCAGTTTCCTCATCTGTAAAAAGGAATTGCCAACGACTCTAGTATCTTTGCCAAGAAAACCCCACATGGAATCATGAAGTCAGACATGACTGAAACTACTGAACAACAACACTCTTCCACCAACAAATTCATAACTCCTCTAAGACTTCCATCACTGAAAAAACCTATATCCCTTTGGCTGAAACTGCTGCTGGGCCTTTCTGAAATTAGCTAAGCTGCTCATTGGATGCCAGGGATATAATCATTGGAGCCCTACTCATTGCCGCCACATTAAGACTGCTGTATTTGGAAGGCTTGGCAGGATTGGTATCCTGGCCTGGACTTCCTTGGACTCTGGTACCACATCTTCTCATTCCAGGACTGAAAGACTTAGCTATTTAAGGGCCTCCAGTGGGGTATGGCCAGTTTTCAGTCAGCCAATCGATTCCTAGCTTCCCTTCCAATTTTATCAGAGAGCTTGTTCATGCCTAGAAACAGGACAACACAAAATGGAGTATCATTACCGTTAGTTTAACACCTTGTTGCAATTTCATTATTTTCTGCCACTGCATCGGTTGAATTGGGAGCAGAAATCAGTTGTTCCAAGAACAACTGCCCTCCCTTCACTTGCATTCTTCTAGAATAGTCTTTGAGACTCTGGTGTCATGGATATACCATGGTGAGGCATCAGAGGAAGAATTTAGTGGGGGGTTAATAATAAAGATGATAATGATTAAAAATAGCAATAATAATAGCTAGCATTTATATGAGGCTTTAATGTTTGTAAAGTATTTTACTAATGTTAGCTCATTTTATCCTTATGACAGTCATGGCAAGGGAGGAAGGTGCTGTTATTATCCCCTTTTTATATATGAAGAACCTTAGGCAGAGAGATTTAGTGACTTGCTAAGGGTTGTACAGCTAGTAAGAATCTAAGGTTGGATTTGAATTCACGACTTACTGATTTCACGTTCAGTGCTCTACCCACTATTCCACTTAGCTCTAAAAAAAAAAAGTAGATATAAATAATGTAGCACATTGGAAGGAAATATAGTGTGGAATATTGTTCATAGGCATTGGAAGATCTGCATTAAAATTCTACCTCTCATGCTAGCCGTGTGATCCCAGACAAGTTGTTTAATTTCTCTAAACTTCATCTGTAAAATGAGGAGATTGGGTTAGATGACCTCAAAGTTCCCTTCTAGTTCTACATCTATCTTGTGATCACATGAAATAGAAAAGAAGTCTGGGGCCTACTATGATAGTAACTACCATTTCTTTAGCACTTTATGAAATAGTTTCATTACACAAAAATCCTGGGAGTTATAATCGAGGAGATTTGAGTTTCAGAGGGATTATTTCCTCAACATCACCTAACAAGTGTCTGAGACAAGATTTAAACCCAGATCTTACCTGACTCCAAATTTAATACTTTTTCCATTGTATCTTGCTGTTTCTTGGAAATTAATTAATAAGGATGTATTTCAAATTAAGCCAAATGTAAAGAGAGAAAATTTAAAGAATGAGCAAAATCTACTGATCTTACGAGAAACATTTCATGGTATCTGAGGCCTATACGGTTCCAAGGTCTAGAAGGTTTCAGGAAGAGTTATTCTTTGACTCTTCTCCCAGCCAGTCAACTCCTGTCTGACTTACTTTCTAGACATTTCCAGTAAAGTTTCATATCTATCTATCTATCTATCTATCTATCTATCTATCTATCTATCTGTCTGTCTGTCTGTCTGTCTGTCTGTCTGTCTGTCTGTCTGTCTATCTATCTATCTAATCTATCTATCTATCTATCTCCATTCTTGCTTTTTCCCATTAGTGTGAAATGGAGTTCTTTTCTGCTAGCATCAGAAGCTCAAAGACTATTAGTACTATCTATTAGGGGATCATGTACAAATGCCATGTTTGTTGATATTAATCAGAATGGTATAAACACACATCAAGGGTAGAATTTCCCCAGAGATGTGGGCTTTAAAAAAATGACCCCAAAAAGGGTGTCTGTGTGTGTGTTTATGTGGATGTGGATGTGGATGTGTATACTGATGGGGAATTTTGAATCCCTCTGTTTATTTCCTACAAAATGAAAATATAAATATTTGACCTAGTTGGTATTTTGAAAGTAGTAGTTTTCAATGGTCAGTGGGGAAAGAAAGAGATGATGAGATTACAGCAGTCTGTAGGAACTTGCTATGGTTCATCTTGTTTCCAGGTGGCCTGAAATGACAATGTGTGTTTCCTTGTTTTGAAGATAATTTAAAATATCATTATTAAGATATTCTGACAATACTTAAATGTTATTTTGCTTCTCTCTTTTTCTTTCTTTTTTTCCTCTAAGCCCCTTCTTTGTTCTGTGGGTTTTCTTTTGTAACTCCTCCTCCAGACTACAGCTTTGTTCCCCCTTCTTCCACTCCTTTCTGGTCAGGTACTGCTTTACCACTTTTATAATTCTTCTCAATTTGCTTTTGTTTCACAATGAAAATATTTTGGTTTCCATGCACAGCAACTCATAAGGATACATCTTTGTATGTCCAGTCTGTAGAGTTTTGTTATTACCTTATTTGTTCTTCTTTTTGGCATAAACAATCTGTCATGATATTTTACTCTTCTGTTTTTTTTTTTAAAAATATTATTTTCTCCAGTATGACATTTCTAATTATTATCTATGTGATCATTGGGTTGTGGGGGTGGTTTTAGGAGGGAGGAGAGGTGGTCTGAAGGTATAAAGGTTGGGAAGTTGAGACATAATCAGTTTGTTTGGGGACAGTGTGAAGATGTAATATTCTTAGGATAATGATTTTGATTTCTAGATTTAATGTTTCTGTTCACCCATGGGGAAAAAAATGCATGCAGAGCCTCAATCATTGTTAACATCTTTTTCTCCTATCATTTGAGTTCTTAGTCCATGTTTCATGGAAAGAATGGATGTTGTCCATCATTTCTGTAGATAATAAACTGACAAAAGGCAAGTTATAGCTTTGATTTATGGTATGACAAGAGTACTGAATGGTAGCTTAGTTGACATCTAGGCAAGTAAATTTATATATAAATCAAATGTTTTCCACTCCCTCCCCCTTGTTAAGTCAAGCATGGTACCCCAGAGAATCACAGTTATTTAAAATGAGAAGGGACTTTAGAGATCATGTGGGCCAACTCATTCATTTTACAGGTGACAAAACTGAATCTCAGAGATGTTCAGTGACCTGTCAAAGGTCACCCATTGAACTAATGGGCAACTATTTTTCTTCAGAATTTTACCTTGGCCCAAGAGCAGTGCACCAATAATGTATGACAGATTACAGCATAAATGCCATTATGGCTACGTATAAATGGTGCAGTAAAAGAAAATAACATATATAATATATATACACATATATATATATACATACATATACATACATTATATATATATATATATACACATTTGCCTTCACATAGTTCTGAAAGGTACAATATTGCTGTTTATTTATCACTTTAGACATATCTGGAGATTGTAGAAATTTCTATAGCTACAGAAATGAAAAATAGTTCAGATTCTCTTTCAGTGTAATGAAGTGGGAGAATTTCTCCACTGTTATATAAAGCATAATTGTTACTGTCTGGGCAGGGGAAGTCTCAAAAATATAGACCTGTGACGTTTCCCATTTGTCTTTTTGTCTTAAACTGGAGTTGTTATTCTTTTCAAACCCAATCTGGGGTTATAAAATCCCACCAACTTCAGGGGAACAATTCTGAGAATTGCTGAGTGTAATTGGGGGCCCTTTATATAATGCTAGAAAGTAGCAGGTAGAGAAATTATTAGAAATGTATTATGAAGCTCCATTCATAGGCAGACTTGGGTGGCTTGAAAGTAGATTTGTTTTTTTATGAACAAGGACAAATTGAGAAAAGGAATGATTTTAGGTCCATCTTTTCCCCTTCTCATCACCCCAAACATAACTTTAGATGTACTAAAATGTCAGAAATGATGCCTTGTTTCCATGTATCCATTAGCATGTCTCAGTAGTGTGAGATGACCTCAATTTGGGATAAAGAAACCCTTTAGGAGTCTCCTATGTATTTTTTTTTCCCATATGAGGTCTGTTTCAAAACTTTCTAGTAGAAGCCATATTACTGGTGGAACAGAGGCTAAACATATTCCAAAATGCTTTCAAAGGGGAAGCAGCACAAATGATGTTCAAATAGTAGTGGTTCATGACATTGATTCTAACCGTCAAAGGCGATACTTAGTTGGTTCTAATGTTAGTTCAAAGGGGTTATTTGGCCATTTTCATTGGATGCTTCCTGATTGGAAATGGATTCATTTACCCTCAGCAGAAATCAAAGCTCTAATGACTTCAGATTTGAATGATTTCCTAATAAATTAATCGGGTCATTAAAATGTATACACACATATACATGTATATATACTTACAAGTATATCTATTTCTATGCATGCATATGTGTATATATATATATAATATATAATATATCTATATCTATATATCTATATATCTACATATCTATATATCACATATATACACACAACCCACCTAAAATTGGTACTCATTTGAAAACATCCTTTCCTATAACACATTAGAATGCATTGCACTGGAATACTTTGGGTCTTTCAGACAAAGGTAATTCCGTGTTACTATTTTAATTTTCTCAGACTCAAACCTGAAGCTGGTTGAAACCTTAATCTTGATTCCAAGTTTTTGTATTCTTATCACTAGTTTTTTTTTTGATGAAAGGCCCACACTGTATAGTGGCTGGTTTGCATTTTAATTGTAATTATATTTATTTTCACTGGGACCACTGGTTTGTGAAGGGCAGGCTAATGTTGAATTTCTGTGTTTCCGGCAGTGTTGAGCCCCAAAGTTCTGGGCATAGCTATTGCACGATATGACTTTTGTGCGAGAGACATGAGAGAGCTGTCTTTGTCCAAAGGTGACATGGTGAAAATTTACACAAAAATGAGTGTAAATGGCTGGTGGAGGGGAGAAGCAAATGGAAGGGTGAGTCCATTGACTTCATCTCACTTATTTGATTTTTATGTCATAATGCCTTTATAAACATAATATATTTATTTATTCAAAATGACCGGGAAATGAAGCAGCCTGGTTGATTTCTATATAATAGGAATGGTGATAAGGATTTATGTTGTTATTTTGCTGGCATTAGGAATTCCCACATAAGAAAACTCTCTGTACCAATTCAGGTAGGCACTTTCTCTGAAACTTATAGTCTTAGAAATGCCGATAGCACTAAAATGTTAAATGACTTGCCCAAGGTCACACAGCCAGTGTGTGTCAGAGATCTCTTGAACCCAAGTCTTCCTTGTATTTGCTTAATGGTTTTAAAAAGTATACATATACTTAATACTAAATTGACTCATCATAATTCGCTATTTCTTAGATGAATCAGAAAGTACTTCTATGTCTTGCAGTGATCAAGGCCTTGATTACAAAAATAATTCATTCATTGTTCATCCACTTAAAAAAAACATTTATGAAACACTTACTATGTACAAAGCAACCTACTTGGCACTTAGAGGGATGTAAAGATAAGGAAAATAGCAACTGTCTTTGAGGAGCTTACAAATTTATTATCAGAGATCACAGAAAGTCAGAGATTAAAAAGAAATTATAGTTTGAGATGAATCTGTGGTGGTTCAGTAATGAATTCAGACAGTATTTTGATGAGTAAATTGTTGACCAAGCCATGTTTCTTGCCATTTGTCTCTGATCAAAGTAAAGTGTAAAATTTGCAAGTTCTCTAGTTGTTTGGATTTGGGAAAGGTGTTGATTTAACTAGTCATAGAAATAAATGGTGCACAATCCAGGGCACTTTTAAGTCCAGGGGACAAGTCCAATCATTTAATACTTTTATGGTTAGACTTTCCCAACAGAATTCCTGTCAACAGGTTGCTGAACTATTATAGCCCTGGGCCCTTCAACTCCACCCCTGCCAAAGGGTCAGGTATAATTAATTCTCCATGCATTGGTGACTCAACCATTTTTACTGATAAAGATAACTGAGGTTTTATTGCTACCTAACTCTGAGTAACTTCTGAAAATACCTGTCACTACCTGTAGTTCTCCCTTTTTTCAACTGCCAGACCCAGCAAGCTAGAATAAGAAGGGAAATATGAAGCTAAAATTCACCACAGTAGCTGAGTGTGGTGAAGCAGCAGAGGCTGAGGCTTATACATCTCTTGAGCACAGGAGTTCTGAGCTGCAGTGGGGCAAAAGCCATTTAGGTGGGTGCATGAAGTCTGGAGACAACATGGTAACCCCTGGCAGTGTGGGGCTGCTAGGTTGCCGAAGGAAGGGTAGATTGGCCCTGGTCAGAAACAGAGCAGGTTAAAGATTCCATGATGTTCAGCAGTGGGATTATAGGTCATGAAGGTTTGCTGTCCTTCCAGTCTGAATGAGATAAAGAAAGAGGGGGGGGGGAGAGAGAGAGAGAGAGAGAGAGAGAGAGAGAGAGAGAGAGAGAGAGAGAGAGAGAGAGAGAGAGAGAGAAGGAAGGAAGAAAGGAAGATACAAAGGAAGAAAAATATGAAGGGAGAGAAATGGAGAAAAAGAGAGAGAAAAATAAAAGAAGAGATGAAGGGGAAAAAATCTTTTACCATAAGAAGGTATAATGGAAGGAACACTGTATTTAGAGCTGGAGAACATGGATTCTAATACCTACTCAGTTTTTTATTAGGCAAATCAGTTATTGTCTCTGGGCCTTGATTTTTCATCTGTAAATTGAGGGAAGAGGGGTGGACTAGAATTCTGGGCTTCTTAAACTTTTTCTACTTGCCCAACTGTTGGCATTGCATGGCCTGAGGGCGTGTGCAGTGCAAAGTGCTCATGCTTTGTGTTCAAAACCTGGGCTGCAGTGACATTGCATGATGCAACACAGGTAAGCACTTCCAGAAACAACCTGGATTCATTACATGTTTGATTTTTAATTAATTTTTGGTTGTTGTACATTTAGAAACCTTTTGCTATTGCCAAATTTTTCACCAACTCATATGGTGTCACAATCTACAGTTTAAGAAACACTGGCCTAGATGATCTCTGAGGTCCCTCCTAGCACTAAATCTATGATGTTATGCTTTTTCACTCTTTGGTAGTGAGACAGGCAATGATTCTGGACTATACTATTGGTATGTCTATTGTTTTCTTTCTTAGCAGTATTCATTGTCCCCTTCCCAACATTTTTATCCCCTCAACCCTTCAACTGGATCATTTTATTATGCTATTAACATTAGTCCGGTCCTATAGTTTCATCAGTATGGGAATTTCTGGTGTAGAAACTCCTTTATTGTCTTAGAGTTGCCTGGGGCTCCAATATTTAGTAACTCACTTGTGGTTGTACTCTATGTGAGAGGCAGGAGTGGAACCCAGGTCTGTATAACTCAGAGACTGGCCTCCTATCTGTTATGCCCCACTGCCCTTTGTGAAGGTTTTATGAGCATTGCCAATCTCTACCTCAGTTCCCCAAGGGGAAGAATACATAAAGATCAGCTTCCTCAGTACTTTGCTCCAACCTATTCTGTAATGGAAATAGAAATGATTTTCTATGCTGCTACCACATCATTGTTTGTTCATTTATATGTTGATTTCCATGTTTATGGAAAAGAAAAACTCTTTAACTGCTTTTCCCTTTATTTCTCCTCTTTCCTGTATTTGTCAGTCAGCTCTAGCCATCCCAAACTTCTCAACTACCAAGTGGGGATAGAATAGTGCTTAATTAAAGTATCATGTCCATGCAATACCGGACTGTATGCAGAAAACTTCGGAATGCCAAGTAAGAAGAAACAAATGTAAAGTCCCTTTGTTACTCTGGGCTGCTTTTCTTTGCAGGTGGGCTGGTTTCCATCAACTTATGTGGAAGAGGATGAATGACTTCAATCCTAATTTTGCAGTCTGGACCAGAAATTTCAGGGACAAGCGATGAACAAAAATCCACAAAGCATTATGAACTGATTGAAGTATTTGAAAAGCTGCATTTCTGGCTAATCAACATCCTTCCTCCTCCTGTCTTCTCCAGTCTTAATGTTGGGATTTCTAAAGATGCTCGTACTGACAGATTAATGACTTGCTGAGAGCTGGGCAAGAAACAACCTGCCAGTCTGTCATCATCAGGGACCAGTGAAAAGCCAAAACCTTCTCTTCCCAGAAGAACTCAGCAAATACATTTCTTTATGTTTCCTTTCACTTTCTTTCACAGGCCATTGTCCATGCCAGTCATTAGTAAATGTTTAATGCACCTTTACTCCTCCCCACTCCTGGCTCATCACACCCCTCTTCCCTTCCCTAGTCATTGAAATCTTTGATGGTACAAAGAACTAGAGCCTTTTACCTATCATAGCACAAAGAAAAATGAGAGTTCTGTCATATAGGCCACTTATGGGAACGGTTTAGTGTCATTTGTCTCAAAATTTCAAGTGAGGCTACTTACTCCATCACAAACACATTTGTCTGACAAATCTTCCTGGTAGAAATACAAGTGAAAACTTCTAAGTTTTCTCTCAGTTCTGTGTAGAGTTTGAGATGTTTGAACTGATGTCTTTTTACTCCTTGCCTTGGCAAGTGATTGTTCTTGAAAACTGAATTTTTTTTTTTAAAAAAGAACCTTATTACTAAGTCCAGAAAACTATTTGTGATTTTGTAAGGTGGTTGTGGCAACTTTGGACTGAAGTTTCTGAGGAAAACTTGGCTCAGCATCTGTAGGTGGCTGCTAGCCAGATGATCACAGTGTATGTTTACATGAGCCAGATCAAGGGCTATATTGTTAAATATGTCACTTCTTCACAAACACCACCTACAGACTTTTTTTTTCTCTCTCCCTCTCTCTTCCCCTCCCCCAAATCTGGGGCATATATTACACTGTTCCTCCATTACTTCCAATTCAAAAGACTGAAAGTTTGTGCCAATAGCACAAACCCTTCTATTGTAGTTTCTAGAAGAAGGGCAATGTAACTGTGGCTTTCATTCCCATTCATGTCTCTGAATTTCAAGACTAGACAAAGACCCACCCAAGGTTTTCCAAGGATAGCTCACTGTGGGGCTCAAGGCTTCTCCCAGTTGTCTTCCAATTTGGGGGCTCTTTCTGGTCACACAATGGCACCTAAATGATATTAACTGATTGGCAGAACAGTCAGCTTATTGGTTTGATTGCACCTCTTCTATGATGGTAATAGAAATGATTATTCTTTGGTGCTGTGTCAGTTCATACGTACATATGCATATATATGTGTGTGTATATACATATGTATATATTTACAGACACATATGTGCATCTACAAATGCGCACATATGTGTCTGTAAGTATATACACATGTGTGTATATGTATACACACACACACACATATCCCTCTTGTTACCAGATTCTACCTATCTCTTGTTATTTGGATAAAGAGGACCACATCATACACATTTTGAAAGCATTTGCTTCTTGCAAAGAATGTAGATATTTTAGCGTTAGCTGAATCTAATTGAGAGCATTCAGAAAAGAAAATTGGGATCACCTCTGAAATGAAGCAATCATGATGTAATCCCCCATAGTTACATGTAGGAAAACCCTGTGCACACTGAAAGAGATGCATTGATCTGGGTGGATTTGAAGTTTCTCATATAGGATAGATTCAGGAAGTTTACCTCAGAATTATGTAAACTGTGATTGTGTTTAAAAAAAAAAGTATTGTGTGATGGCACCAGTTCGTGTATTTGTCAATGTGGACATGAGCACTAGACTGTATTTTGTAAGATGATTCGTACAGTAAAATTACCTGGCAGGATGTTTTCTTCAACCATGTTCTGTGATGCCTAATGTAGCATCAGCCACCACCACGGGTCAATGGTGTGTCTTCGTTTCACTCTCAGCAGAGCGTTGTGGTAGAGGGAGCAACGGAGCATATGGGTCCCAGGTTTTGGCATGGGCTTCTTTCGGCAAGTTGGCCCACTTCTTAAAACCAACCTCTGCTCTTCTTTTTTCATTTTGCCCGTGTGGAAACTTGCCCAGAAGACTGGGGTATTAAACCGTGCTGGGACCCCGTTTTTCATAAGATACCGGTTGCACCCTTCTTTGTCTGTGTTGAATGCCCTGTATTGGAAAAGTTAAATGCTGCAGATTCACATGCATTTCTAATACCAAAGACATGACTCCAGGCTATCGAGTCACCAGTCACTGCTTCCCCTGTGCTTTTGTCTTGCCTGGATGCAGCTCTTGCTGTCACACCGTAAATCTCATCAGTAGTGCTTAAAAGTTTGTAATATTTTGTAAATATGTCGATATAATAAAGTAGTTACAACTTGTATTAAGCTAATTGTCCTCAGTTTTAACTGCCTTTCTATTGCATGGGGGGGGGGTGAAAGGTCCATTCTAAACTTCTAAAAGTTGGCAATGGCAACAAATGAAGAAATAAGAAGGTGCTATGATTTCATCAGTGTGGGAATACTCTCATTACAGGGACTTTTCCATCAATTCAGGTGGTACACTGGATAGAAAATTGGACTTGGAGTCAGAAAGACCTGAGTCAGTATCCTGCCTTAGACACTTACTAGCTATGTGACCCTGACCACCTCTTTGTCTCAGTTTACTCATCTGTAAAATAGAGCTAATAATGTCGCCTATCTCCCAGGGTAGTCATGAAGATAAAATACTATTTGTATAATGTTTTGCAAACCTTTAAAGCACTATATAAATGCTATTAGTATTACTACTATTACTATTATTATTATTTTTATTATCCCAACTCACCTATAACATTAAATAAGTCCTAGAGAATTCTCTAAAGTACTGGATTTAAGTGACTTACCCACCATCACATAGCTGATAAATGGCAAGATAGGCCTTGAACCCTGGTATTCCTGGTTGTACATTCAACATTACATGCCTCACAGTGGATTGTACTAATTTAAATAATGGACATTTATGTAGGACTTTAATTGGAAAAGCTTGCCTCATTTGAGACCCTGAGCAGCCTTGTTTGGTAGATATCACAGGTATTAACTCTATTTTACAGATGTGAAAATTGAGGCCCAGTATGATTCAGTCCATTGTCAATGGGTTATGTAGCTGGTAAGTGTTTAGGCAGTTTTCAAACCCAAGTTTTTCTTACTCTGTGTCAAGTCCTCTATCCATTATGGCATGCCATACAAATCTTAAAGAAATAATTTGGCCCAAGGCCCTTATTTTAACCATTTTTTTTTCTCAGTACTTTAGCAATTTATCAGCTGGGAACAACATATCACATGTATCAAAATAAAAAGAAGGTAAGCATGTGTATGTCTGGTAGAAGATGAAGTAAGGTATAAAGTAGAAAATTTCTCTGCTAACAATAATCTTGGTAGTTGCAGTGGGGGCAGTGGAGGAATACTTCCCTGAGCGTTGTTCAGTTCTCTAGCTGAGAAATACTTGATAAAGGATAGAATTCCAAACAATCAAAATCCAAGTGGTAGAATTCGCAACCTGTCTGTCACATATTCTCGACCTACCCTGCCCAAAGGTCAGTCCTTTTTTAATAAAGCAGAGACTATTTTCAAGAGGATATATGCTTTAAAAAGTAGTTTTATGAATTGCTTGGAAAGTATAAGCCAAACCACTGAAATGAGCAAATTAAACTGATGAAGGAGAGATCCTATTTTTAGGAGGCCTGAGTAACAGATAGTTCTTTATATGATAGATCTATGATCTAATCAATATGTGTACTTGCTATGATAATATAGATCCCATCCTATTGTCATTTCATCCTGTGGGATTCTTGCTGTGTTCCTCCCACAAATCTGTCACAGGGGATCCACCTAATTTTCTCTAGTCTTGACATTGCCTTGCTATTGATGGAACATGGTGGCTCTGAATCCCTTTCATTCATTATGTGACCAATCTAGAGGTCTGTTCTGTGTTGTTTATGGCCATGCATTATTCTAGTGATATCTTTCAAGTCACTTCTTTTGCATGATTCCTTGAGTCAGTTGTGTTGCAGCCTATTCCTACCCATTATGCACTTCCCCATTTCCTTTTGGACAAACTCAATTTTATGTCTTAAGAGGTTGTGTTATTTCATTGACTCACAGTCATGCAATATCCCTAGCCAAATGTTAATGTTAAAAAAGAAAGAGAGAGAGAGAGAGAGAGAGAGGGAGAGAGATGGTCCCTTGTTTCAGGGAGAAGTGTAGGGTCATTGAAGGAATCACGCAATTCTCCAAAGACATTCCAGATCTGTGTGTACATATATATATGTGTGTGTGTGTGTGTGTGTGTGTGTGTGTATACACACACACGTACACATATATGCTAGGTATATGTACACATATATAATGTGTGCATATGTATACATACACACATATATAATATTAACTTTTATATATGTACATCAATATCTAGATATACTGATGGGAAAGTTCTATAATCTCAACCAATATGGACAATAGATGTTCATCTACTTGTTTCCTGTGCAAATAATTAGGCTGAACTTTTTTGAGTAGCTAATAATAGTCTTAATAATGTAAGATGAAAAATTTAGTCAGAATTAAGACACCTAGCAATAGACTAAAAGAGACTCTATTTCCTTTCATGGAAACTAAAAGCCTTTAAATATTTTTCATCATATGAATAGCTTTAGCATCAGAAAATAATAAATTATTAGACCATATGATATAAAATATGGTTGAATTAATAGAAATCTTAAAAGAGGGACAATCTTCTACTTTATTCATTCTAAAGGATGTGCATGTATTTAATATTCATCATTATACTGGACTTATCTAATGTGATAGTCTCCAGAAGCCCATTCTTTCCAATAAAGTCTTCCCAATAGTTTTTCAGTTTACTTATCTAGGAGATTAGGATAATAACACTCCACAGGGGGCTCTGAGGATCAAATGAGAAAATATACACAAAGAGTTTTGTAAACCTTAAAGCATTATATCAGTGCTTTAATATATATATATATATATATATATATATATATATATGCATTATATAAATGCTTTTATATATATGTATATACACACACATACATATATAGGATATATTGATATATATCAATGATATATATGTATATCAATTATTATTTTTTGACATCACGTTTAATTATCTGTCATAAAATTCAAACTCATAAAAGATCCAGTATAGTTGACCAAATATCAGTATTTCATGTTCTTTCTTGAAGTATATTCTGGATTTTGTGTCCCAAAAATCATAGTGCAATTTTCAAACTTCAAACAGCACTAAGACATTGGGGATCTATTTATGAAATTGTCAAGTTTTGTTTTAGCAGTGGAAAGCTCATTTGCACATAGACTTTGTACAGTTATGGGATAGTAGAGTGAGCACAGGATTTGGAGTTAGAAGTCTTTTTAATATTTCATGTGTACCAGGGCTATGCTTAAGCTAGTCCTCTGTAGTTTCCTTGCTCTCACTACATTTGCAGCTCCCCTTTTTTTTCAGTCATGCATGTTCCTCCTGCCCTTTAGGTTTCAACAAATTAGATGCTCTTTTGTTCTCTGAATTTTGACTCTGCCAGTTTCCAGGACATTCAAAGGGAGAAAAAAAAATCAGTCCCTCCCACTAAATGAAGATTAACACTTGTTCGTGCGTGGGTGTTATTGGAAGTAGCATGAGTGGGAAGGCAGGGTATGGAGGATTGATTGGTTAGGCACTCACTGGCTGTTGTCATGATGCAAACCCATCATAAAATTAATTGCCTGAGAATTTATCTGGTCTGCTGCAATCCCAAGACCTTTGCTTCCAGAGCACTATATTTCACAGGCATCATGCACCACCCACTGACTATAGATATGGGAATGAGCTACTATTGACAGATGCTCTCCTCCTACCAAGAGCACCTTGCATGTGTAATTTATAATCTAGCTCCCTTGCTGGCGTTTCAGAGTGCCTGGACTAGTCTGCCCCCTTGAATAGGATTGTATTCTAAGCAAGATTATAGAAGGTTGATCACAGGACAGGTAGGACTTTGACTGGGTTGTGTAGTTTATACAGTATTTGTTTTAAACATGAATCAATGACCTCTAAATGTGGCAACAACTAAACAGTGACCCAAGAATCTGAGTGTTGCAAGTTTTCTTTGATGCTTGGAATATTCTCCCTTTTGGAAAACCAAAACCAAAAACTCTTTTTCTCTAATATGAACTGGACTATATATCTCTCCAATTGTCCTTTTAGATGTTTTCTGTAATTTCCTTGTTACAGAGAAGCTCAATAACTTTAGTCCAGACCATACATCAAAAGACTTCCTCTCATAATGTAAAAGGGCACATCTGTTGAACATGGTGTGGAGACAAGTCTGTGCCTTTGCTATGTCTTCTTTCAGTGGGTCAGCTCTGCTCAAAGAAAGACAAGAAGTAAAAAGCAAGCCGGGGCCTGTTCATGTTGTCAATGAAAGGTACATATGGTCACCATAGGTGCTGATGGTGGTGGGGCAGGGAGGGAGAATAAATAACCTCCTCTTGGAGAAAATCCAGGGATGATGTGGCCCAAGACCCAAGCAATATACTCCAAAAATAGGGGAAGAGGGAAGTTGCTTATCTTCAGTTCCAACTTGGTATCTGGCTTCAGCTTGAAGACTTCTAGGGAGAGGAAACCTACCACTTCGTGGGTTATAACTCTCCACTCTTGGACAACGTAAATTATTAGAATGTTTTTCTTGACATCAAACCTAAATTTTCCCCCTTGTGAATTCCACCTACAGCTTCTTATTTTGTCCTGTAGGACAAGCTCTTCAAATACTTGAAGAAAATTAGGTTTTCCTTCTTTAGAATAAATCAGGGGTGGGGACCCTGAGGCCTTGAGGCCACACACATGTTTGGATTCAGTCAAAGGGCCACACTTGAGGGCCTAGAGGGCCACATGTGGCCTCGAGGCTGCAGGTTCCTCACCCCTGGGTTAAACACTAAATATCCCCAGTTCTTTAAATCCTTATATGAGATGGAGTCAACATCCTTCTGGTGTCCGTCTTCGGAGTACTTTCCAGCTTATTTTCACCTTTAAATTGTGGCCCCCAGAACTACACATAATTTTCCAAATGTAGTTGGACCACAGCAGAATACAAAGGAACTGTCACCTTATTCCTGGAGGCTATGCCTTCTTTAGGGCAGCCCAAGTACTCTTTAGTTTTTCTGTCTGCTGTACTCCACCATTGGCTCATATAAGCATATAGTACATTAGAGTGCTGTAGAAAGAGAGAAGGGGAAAAGGGAAAAGAAAGGAGGGAGGAGGGAGAGGGGAGAGGAGACCAAGGACTTTACAAACCCATGATGAGTGGTCATGAATCATGGGCATTGACCAGACAAAGAAGAGG